TCTGACTACACAGGAAAATAGTGCAATCTTTATATTTGACAATTTCTCCATCTGGGTGGTCAGATGGTGAATGAACTCACCAACCTATGCCAGATCTTATTTCTAGAGAAGGTTTATTGCCACTTATTTTTCCCATGTCCTAATTTCTTTTTCTTTTACTTATGCCTCTGTTTTAGTGTCTGCTGCCCAGTTGACAAACCTAGAAGGTCTACACTAGAAGTAGCAATCACACAATCATCTTCTGTCCTGAATTGATTTCATCCCCTGTAGGATTAGGAGAATAATTATGTTTTTAGACCTCTTCAACTAAGATTGTCTACATTACTGGCAATCATACCAATGACATGGACATGTGCTTACTAGGAAACTCATTCACCAACTCGTTTCACACAGCTCAACAAGCAGTTACTCATAATTGCTTGTAATCCTGCTGACATGAGCATGAATGAAACTCCTGATTTCTCTCACAAAGCCCATCTATGTGTTTAACATTTTTTTTAGAGAAATATATGAAATTCTGAAATGCAAAATTTGATAAGCTTTGATAGCTATCATCCATTCAGAAAACTTACTGTAATTAATTGCTTTTCAATCATATAATTTTATTTCCCTTATCACAGGAGTTCTCCTTAAGCAGCCCCTTCATTTTACACTAGCTTTTGTCCAGAACACATTTCTACATATAAAGTGTGTGAAACTGTCTGAATTCAGGAGTTACTTGCTCTTCATATAGACCTCTCACTTTTATTGTTAAGCATACTTTATATTAACAGTAAGGAATAAAACCCTGATTTTTGGAAGAGCTTCTAAAGGAATATCAGAAAATGTTCTAAATTCTTTTTATGAATGATTTGATTTACAGTGTCACCAGAGAAGGTAGTATTATGGTAGCATAAAGTGAATGAAAAAACTGCTCTCCGATGCAACCATCTGGTTATATTTTCATATTTTCCTGGTAGATCTGGTTATATTTTTATTTTAAATAAGTGCTGCTTATTTTCTTTCCTTGGATACATGAGAAGGAGTTTAAAATACTAGAGCCTTTGTTTGCAGGTATCTTTGGAGCCATGTTTTCTGGTCCTTGCTTTCTTTCCTAGCTGAGCTTGTTACTCCGTTAAATTTAGCGCTATCCACAATTTTGATGAGGTTGAATTTATGCTATAAAAATGCCAAAAGCAAGTTCTAATAGAAGCAAACATAGGAAAATTATATAAAGATTTATCTTCAACATTTCTCATTTTTTGTTGAATAATGTTATCCACTGGAAACTCAAAATTACTTTTTCAAGCAAGTGCGGTTGTCCTTTCCTGTGACTGGCTTTCTACCAAAGGTATTTAGGCTTAAATTAACTTATATTTTATTTATGTGTTTCCTTTTATATCAAATATATAATAGTTTTAAGCAGGGTGTGTCACAGTTATTTTATAATATCGTAAAAAGTTAAAGATTTTTTGCTGATATCCAAGCTGTGAGGTACAACATACAATCTGGGAGAATCAAAAAGATAAATCAGTTGTGTTCTTTCCTGTGCATGGTAAGTAACAGGAGAATTGTGATAAAAAAGTAGTATATCGGTAATCTGACAGCATTAAATGAAGGAATGTGGATCTTTGTACTTAAGAGAAAGATTTTATTGACATGTCTGCTGTCTGCCTGCAGAGGAAAGGGCTATAGACATTTGATGAAATTTTTACATATTGTTGCATTCTCGTTTTTCTTTTCAATATTTTATTAAAATATTAGATTTTTATTAATGCTCACATTTTATCTTTAATAGGAATACTTCATTGTATTCAGATATACCTAGTTCAGACGCTGCAGTAATGCAGTAACTGTGCATCCATTTCTGAGCAGCATAAAAGTAATGGTGACTTGTTCAGGCTCACAGAGGGTGTGTTTATGGAAGGTCTGAGGGATGCTTCTAGTTTCTGGGTACAGGTTCTCACCCCGTGCAGAGGTGGGACACAGAAGTATTTAGTCCCTCCTGCCTTCTGTGCTCCTGGTTTCTGGCACTGACATGAGCCATGTCCCCAGGCTGGCCAGAGGAAAGTCTAAGCCAAAGGATTGTGCTGCGAGAGTGCCCCTGCTCTGCAGTTGCAGAGGAAGACTCCTGGTTAAACCACCTCTCATTAAGTCCTCCACTTGAGAAAAAACACAGCGAAAAAGATGCATTCTCAGTTGGGGCTTTGATCTTGCTCTCATAAATGACTCAAAGAATTTGCATGGTAAAATGCAGCTATTCCATTTTTGTTGCTAGAAAAAATAGAAGAGAATAGATAGATACACAAAGTGGGAGAGATGAGAACAGTCAGCATGCCTTTATTCCTTGTCTGAACTTAATCTAGATCAATTAAACTGTTTAAGGTTTTTGTCATGCCTCAGTATAAAATGTTTACATATTCCTATCTTTTAGACAGAAGTTGCTTATTGTTTTAGAACTGAATTACTCTCTATAGGAAACTGTTAAATAGATGCCTAAGTTTACCTCATTTTTTTGGTACTTTGCATAAAGAGCAGTTGTTATAACCACAACAGGGAATTTGTGTTACATACTGCTGTGCTTTTTCTTCTTTTGTTCTTTTCTACACCATAAGGAGTTAAACCAGGATAAAATAAGTAAGATGAGAAGTGAAGGTGATCTGGCCTCTTCCTTCATTAGAAGAAAAAAATGCTAAGCTTATATTGTGTAGAAAGGGTTCGGGGTTTCTTTAATTATCACATTGTCCTTCCTACTATTTGTCTAGATTTTTAGTCCAGAGAGCTCCATTTGAGACAGCAAATGACCAAACTCCAGTTTTGGGGTTCCAAGCATTTTGTGTTAATTTTTGTGTCTGCATAGAGTTTTTTAGTGATATACATACACTGAGCTATGCAACTGCAGTATTTCACTCCCACCCTCATTCAGTTCCCTACTTTGTGCGGCAGCCTCAGCGTATTCAGCAGGTTGTATGCCAGCAGATGAAACAGATGTTTCGGCCATACTGGAATGGAGCGGCATGCTGCACCAGGACCTGGATATTCCTCTTGACATCTGGATGCTGCTGGGCTGGGAAGCCTGCCTTGGGCCAGGAGGCTGTAGGAGCCTTGTGGCAGTGAACATAGGGTCCTTGCTGCTCTTTAAGCGATTAGTGCACTGAAGCAGCAATAATGCTAAATTATCGCTTGGTTGCGTTCTTCTAAGGAATCTTGGGACAAAGGGATAGTCAAGGAGGAGTATTTACAGTAAAGTCATGTTCAGAAAGACAAGACTAATTACCATGTATTAAAAAGCTTTCTTTCAACTAATTTAGTAGTAAAATTGTTACGAACACTTTAGGAAACTTTTTACAAAGCAGTAAACAAATAGCTTACAGAAAAAAACCTCCCTTTCTCATTTAAAATCATTAAGATGAAAAAAGACAATTTCAGCTACTTTCCAATTTCATGGTCTGGTCAAATTGTATGGCACAGACAACAAAATGTGACTGAAGACGTGAAACTGAAGGTATACTAATGTTCATGCCTACTAGAGACAAAAATGTGAACTTGTAATAGCTGCAGGGAAGAGTATTAGGTATGGAAGCTGTCTGACTTACGCATTGATTCTTTATAGTTTCACTTTATCAAGTTGAAAATTGTGCTGTATGTGCTGCTACAGCCTAAATTGTCTGCTGCAGCACTTTCCTTTATGATGTGTGTTAGTTAAACACAATAGACGTGGTATATTGCGTGGAAATAGGTGTTTAATGTTTTGTGATTACTAGCTGTTGGACAAAATAGCATTTAGCATGGATCCCCCCCCCCTCCCCAATAAATTTTCCTTCTTAACACTGATGTGTTTAAATGAGGGCCGTCCCAAATAGATTACAGCTTTCTGGAGAGCATGAGGTAATATTTTGAAGATGACCAGTTTGTTGCTCTCATTTAACCTCCAGTATTCTAAAGGGGTTATATTTAATTAACACTGGCTAAAGGCCTGACCTGAGAGGCAACCAAAAGTGATTGAGCTGCATTTTCAGATCCAGGCTGTAATCTGTTGGGAGAGGAATAATAATAATAAAAAAAAAATTAGAAAGCACCATTTACTGAAATTCTTTCTAACTAAGCTGTATTTCAATGGGCCATTTAATGCTCAGATGGACAAAGGTATTACTTCAGTCATTGAATTGTATCGAACCCTTTCTCAGAGGCCCAGTTTAAAAACTCTACAGGAAAAGTGGCTTAGCATCATATTCTCAGCAGACCAACACTCAGTCTGTTTGGAAAGGATTAAAAAAAAAAAAAAAAAAGTGAAGACTTTGGGAGGGGATATCTGTGGTGTCAGGCCATGATGATAAACAGGTGAGGATAGGCAAAAGTGAGTAAGTCTCTAAACATAGATCTTGCTGCAGGTATCTTCTCATTCCACTTTTTTTGCTTGTTTGTTTTTTGTTGTTGGGTTGTTTTTTATTACCAGAGCATCAACATGAGCCTTGGCGTTGAAGATCTATTATCTGTAATCCCTTTATTTAAGAATAAGCAACATTAATAACATGTAAAGAATAATCAGTCAGATGGTACTTTCTTCTTCAGTTTACACTTTCGATTACATTAAAAATTTAAGGAGATATTTTATAGTTGGCAATAGTTATTCAGGATCTCCCAGTACAAACCCGTACTATGATGAATAAAGCCAAACTTAAAATGACAGTGCAGGAAATACAGTTGGAAGAATAAGTCAATGACAAAAAGATCTATCATTTCTTCAGAACACATGCCAATGTGATCATTTAGTCCATTCATATTTTGAGCAGGACATATTACATGTGCTGTGGACTCTCTTTATCAAGTAATGAAAATTTGCTTCTCCAAAAGAGAAGTCAAGAAATGAAAATCTATGAAGAATAGATACGGTTTTGCCAATTATTTTCCCCAGCAGAAGTCTGTGTCTTTGTCACTGACTTATTTAACAGATCCTCTTAACATCTGTCCAGCAGACTGTGGACTTTATTAGCAGACAAGAGACCCACCAGATTTAGAGCCTGCTGGGTGCGTCTTCATCTTCACAGCTGTGGATTAACTCAGACTTTCCAGAAGAGGACAACCATATGGGATAATTGGTGTCATTGGGTAGCTAAAAAAATATGAAGAAACAAATGTCGTCCAAACACAATTCACTGTTTTTACAGCCACAATTACTAGTCTGTTTAAAAAATAAGAAAGGCAGCATTACACTAAAAAAAGAAAATCTATTCATATCTGTGTGGGAACCTAATCAGGCTCTTGTTTCCAATGACGATGGCTCCACAGTCACACCAGGTCTGCGACAAGAATGCTCCTTTTGTGTGCCGATAATGTGGAAGCGATAAAATTTCCTATAAGAGACATATGTGTTTACATCATGAGATGTGTTATTTGACAAAACGCTTTGTTCTCTGCATATTTTCCACGCAGAGTTTCATGCTGGGTTGTTTTGCTGGAAAGCTTTGATTAGCTAGAATTAGTTGCTGAAGTAAAATAGACACTTTTGTTTTATGAGTCCTCTTGCTGAGCTGTAAATTATAGTAAAACATATAAGGAGTGACAGAAAGAAGTGCTGATTTGAACCTCTGACCCATGATCGGCATAAAAACATAAGATAACTCTTTCAAAGGACTACTGAGAGCCATAAATATTCCATGGTCCACTTAAAGTTAGGGCCTTTTAACAAAATAAAGCTGTTATTTTGCATAAGGGGATCTTGACTCTGCAGTACTACAACAATGCAAGCTGCAGTATCAAAAATGTGTAGAGATTCTTTTATTTTTGGTATGGGTTGGCCATTTTCCGCAGCAGGGCAGTAGAAGCAACGAGAATGTTTTTTTTCTCTTCCTGAACGAGTACGATGAATATGTGGTCACTAAAAGGAGCTGGAACTGGCAGACGCTCAGCGGTGAAATTAGGTATCTGTGACTTTGCAGCTTGAGAGAGAAGCAAAACAGGCATGTGTATCTCCTAAGGAGACAGGGATTGAGTGGAATATGGGGCCACATAAAAATTTCCCGTGGCAATATATAGAATAGCAACTGACAGACACTGAAATTACTGCTGTTAATAATTAAAAAAAAAAACCAACACACCTAAAGTGAATGAATATGAATTACTGGTAAAATCATTCTTTTAGCTGAGAAAGATTTTTATTATTATTTTTTTTTCCCAGTAAGTGCACACCTGAACATATAGGGAAAACTGAAGTCTTCTGATTCCACCTGTGACTACAAAATGTATTATTTGTATTTTCACAAATACAGTTAGTTTGCATGTATTGGGCTTCAGTAAATCTGAGAGAACATTAACCAGCAAGTGCATAAGTAATCACTGCAACAATCTTTGGTTTTATGACATTAGTTATGACAATTCATTAACTGCCATCTCATGTGACACCTTAATGCCTTTTTGCAAAGTTTTCTGCGTTATTATAGGAAGTAGAGACTATTCACGCTCTGTAGGATGATATACAGGTGTTTAAAATCAGATTGTTATGTCCACTATGGATAGGTTAGGCATGTACAAACAATGGAAAGAAAGGAATGATGCTGTTAAAAGGAACCATGTACATATATTATGACACTTGGATTCTATAGAGACACAGCAGTATTTATGTGTATTGTTACTTATTATTTACTGTATTTCTAAATTAAACACTTTTTCCCTAATTGTTACTCCAACTTCATGTAGCTATACTTGATCGACGCCATTTCAGATATACCCCTGTGAAGCCAAACAGTTCTCACTTATTTAGCCTTAACCTATGAGTTAAGTTGATGTTGCATAATTGCTGTATGTTTTGTTCTTAAATAGTAAGCTACTGTTACCTGCATGATGTCACATGTGAAAATGAAAGGAGGGTCTGTCCCACAGTACTAACAGATCTATAAAACTCACCTTATTCTGATTAGTTAAAATTTTTCTTGCAACAAACTGAGAAAATGCCACCGAGACATAAAATTTCATCAAAACAAATTTATAAAATGCACTGTTTTAACAGGTAGCACATGCACAAATATATTGTAAAAGAAAAGAAAACATACTTTTACCACAAAATATATATGTATTTGAAAGGATCTTGTTTACATTTAGCAAAAGCTTTGATTTTTCCAAATTTCAGATTTTTAAATTCAAATAAGGGTTACTTTCATGTGTATGTACATTTCCTTTAACAATTTTATAGGCACCTTTCCTTCTCTTTCTCCTCCTCCTCCTTTTCCTTTGTGTGGAGAGCACTGCTAGGACACAGATGCTGAGCTATGGAAGGTGTTTTTCTGGTGATGGCATCTGGCTTCTTGGCAGACTCCACAGGCAATAGCTGCCTTTGAGTTGCCCCTGGGTTTGTCACATGGTTAAGCTGCTGACGATTTACTTAGGCTGTCTTGTGTTTCTGGGTGTCATTTTCTGTTAACCTACATCTCACTCTCAGGATCTGCATAAAAATCATATTAAAACAAAGAGAAGAGTAACCATGCGCTTTTTTTAAAAAAACCCCGTACATACATGAGTCAATAACCACATTTTCTACCTTGGTGCTATAGTAGGGGTCTCAACTGCAGTGTTTGTCACTGAAGTATTTGGTGCAAAAGACATGCCAAATACAAAAATGGCATATTTTTATATATATATATATATATATATATATATATATATATATAGGGGGAAAAAAAAAGAGGAAGGAATAAGTACAATTAACTTTACTTTAGAAACAGTTCTTGCACTTAGATTAAGATGGGTTTGAAATTTTTAGGTAGGATATTTATGCTTATGTTCTGCTTTTTGAAAAGGTTCAGGTCATCACTTAACCTTTATTTCCATAGTTATTATCTAGGACACCCAAAACATTGGTTTGAGCACTAATCCGTTCTTCCCCCAAACAGAAAAAAAACCCCAACTTTTTCAGAGACTCTGTTTCTTTTAATCTGTTTGCCATCAAGCCTATTTTAAGCACCTCTACACCAATAATAAAAAATAAGCAGTCTGACTGAAGGTGGAATTTTTTTGTTTTGGGTAGCTTCTTTTCAGAAATGTGCACTGGAAATAGTAAAGATTTTGCTGGTTTTGCTGAGCTTGTAAAAACCCTTTGTGATCAGACAGTTCTAAGTATTATTATTGCATGTTATATACTCGGAAGGAAAATTTTGGAATTATAGCTTTGCAACACTATGTACTAAATATACTATGGAAAAAAATAACTGCATTACCTCTTGTAGTGCAGGATTTCAACAGCACTTGCAGTCACTCCTTAGAGTTTTTCATCTTTAGAAACCAAATTACTCATTGTCTAAATAGCTGAACTTTCATCTCTATAAATAAGATATTTCAGCTTTGCACAATTCATTTAAAATGCTGACAAATAAGGATTCTCACTTGATTCTCAGTAGTTTTATTGTTCAGTTTCATTTACTGTAGCAAATGTATTTGTTGAAGATGTAACATAGGACTTGTATTTTTAGTAATGGAAAACTTTAGAATTAATCAGGGAAATTTAGTATTCAGAAAATTTAGTATTTGTTTCTGAGAAAAAAAGAGTAATTCTAGCACCTTTGGAGAAATAATGCACAAATAGAAAAAAAGGAGAATGTTATTTCATTTTCATCATAAATCTTTCAGAAAAACAAAATAGATAAATGTTTCTAGAACAGATCCCTTCTTTCTCCTTGAATCAAGCTGCCTTCTACTGAGTTTCTTTTTGGGGCATCTTCCAGGTGCACCCATTGCAATTCATCGTGCTAGGCCAGCCCTCATCACCTGCACTTCGATTATCTGCTACACTGACTATTTGCAACCCCTCTCTCTCTTACCTACATATTTCACATATGGTCTTCCTGGAGTTTCTTCACAATTCTGCTGCAAAGAATAGCAACTGAATTATCCCCGCTGCTGTGACCAAATTCTCCGTCACCAAAGCAGTCAGTTGAAATGTCTAGCCCCTTCCCTTTTGTTCCTGTATAGACAAGTGCAACTGCTCTCTCCATTTCCTCCCTGGGCTCATGGATGTAGAGAAACTGCCTCTCCTATGCAGCAGTCGATCGCTTTCTCTTTATTGAAATATCTTCTCAAAACAAACTTTTTCCATAAGGCCTGTCATTGACAAGCCACTGGTAAGAAGGTTATGATTATCATAATTCTGTGTTAGGTGGTAAAACAGCCTGTCACAAAGTTAACAAGTTGTTGTCAGTGCAAATCTCCGTTCACTGTGTAGATTTAAGGCCCATTCTGTTTTCCTCACCATGTGTTACTTCTGTAACATTTGATTCTCAAAATTCTTTACCTTTACTCATTCATTTAGACACAGATGCTGCAGCCTAAGAGGTAAATATCAGTATTCCTGCTGGAAAAAAAAAAAAAAAAAAAAAAAAATTGGTGTCGTTCAACAGAGCATGTGTGTTGGATACCACAAGCCTATGTGCAAGCAAAGTCATATGGGACAGGGACCTGAGCTAATGAAAGGGTTTTGATTATTGAAAGCTAGTTGAAAAAACTAGTTGAAAAACTACTGAAAAAATGCTGAAACCTCTGCGGGGGATATGTAAGCCTAAGGCCTTTGTCTTCTGGCAAGGCATGAATGAACACTGGGAGCAAAGGCAGTTATCCTTCTCTATCATGAAAATATCTCGCAAAGGCATTGTGGCACTTAGATGGCGTTAAGAAAGGTTTTAATATTTGGATCAGTCAAGATGCTCTATTATTAATTCATAGGTTTTTTGACAAATTTTAGATCATGGATGATACTTTTTATAAAAAGAATGAAGTGGAAATAATTCATCAAATGCCATTGGCAATTCCTGAAGCAAAAATACTACCAGCACCACCCCCAGATGATTATTTTTGTTGGTTATTCAATTCTTCCTGAATGGTAGCTCTAAGCAATAGCAAAGGCTTAGTGTAAATTCTGCTGTTTACAGGTAAAATAATCAGTACGTACTTGTGCTGTGCTGTACACATGCTGAGTACAGCGCTTTCCCACTCGTCTGTAATTTCTTTTTAGGTAGATGAACATCATTCAGACTCATAGTGACCTCCAAATTTCATAAATTCCCCTTAGATTTTTAGTTGATTACAGCCGGAATAGAGTTTCAGTATCAAGTGCTTAAGTCCATAAGC